GCTTCCTTTGGGTAGCTCATGGCTCCCTTATAGTTTGGGAGTCTTCTTGTTACACTCCGCATAGATTGGGAGTTGATTGGTTCACTCCACTTTTCATTGTGGTTGTATGCCTATTTATAGGCATTCTTTTGTTCTAGAAAGTTCTTCCAATTTCAACCCTCTTTTGATCCTTTTTCCAACCACAAGTGTGTGGCTTCATCTAGAATATTCTACCATATTCATTTGCTTTGTTGCCTTGCAACTTCTTTATTGTGAACTCTTGACTTTTCTAGAATAATCTTCAAGGTTTGCATATGGCTGCTACCTTTCCATCAAGCTATAGAACTTTCTTCAAGCTTCTAGATTTCTCCACACATTTCTTTAGCACAAATGTGCATTGATTTCAACACTTTTCATCTAATCTCATCTCGTCTCTTAATAATTCATGAAACTTATTATCAATTTCGTCCACATTTTTTTTCAGACAGACAATAGTATATGAGTGCAAAAGTGCAAAGCTTAAGTCTACCTAGGAGATGATGAATCATAAGATCAAATCAGATCAGATCATCAATCCCTTCAATCCAAATATCCAATGGATCGATGATCTTGATCTCAGAGTTTAAGTTCAGTCGACTACAGAGAGAGTTTGATACTCTTTGTCCAAGAAGGACCTGATCAAATTGTCCTAGAAGGTAGAAGAAGGCACTCAACAACGTCACTGCTGGATTAGTCTCTTCAATTATAATAAGTCATCAAAATCGTGCTTCTGAAAAATGTAAAGATGTTGCTAACATGTTCTAGTTCAGTGGCAAATGGTATAGCCTTCATGAGTGATAAATTCTTGTAGCATCTATGTGATAAATCCTCCTACACCTTCCTAACTTTGGCCCAAAAAAAAGGGGGGAGGAGCCTAACCTTTGTTTTTTGGGGTCAATAGAGGAGCCTAACCTTAGATATCAAGGGAATGATGCATTTCTAAATCTAAAAAATCTATCTCACCTAATCGTGAGTAACTTAGAGGACATGAACCATTCATTATCCCTCCTTCATATCCTCTAGGTTACTAACCATAGGTGGGTAGGATTTTTAAGTTTTGTAACGCATTATATAGGTAAGCCATTTTGTTCTTTTTATGTAGGACAAAACATGGGTTTATTGAAATTTAGAAAATGGAAAAATTTCCAAATAAGATAATTGGTCTTCAAATATGGAAAATCATGTTTGAGTATTAATTATGGCGATAGGAAAAGAAGGAAGGCGTATCGTTGAGATTTTCGGATTGATTGAGAAGTTTGAAGCAATTATGGATATTCTGTCAAGATCTATATTTAGTTTAATATTTTATTTTATATTTTTAGAATACGTTATCTATTAGGGTATTATTTTCCTAATATGAGTTTAACTAGAATTTTTATTATTTTCTTGTTAGTTAAGTTTAGGATTATTCTAGATTCTAGGGTTTCTTTGTTTTCTATTTTAGCCAACTCATGACATTGTATTTAACAGTTTATTCATATTATTAATCAAATTTAGAGATTTCCTCTGGATTCCAACTTTTTTTACCTTAAAGTTATCGTTCGATTTCCCTTTACAAGATTATTCTGTCAGAATAACGAAACCCTAATGATAAACCCTACGTTGACATGATGTTGATGGAAGTCTAGAGTTGGAACATGTTATAATGATGAAGTTGGGCACTTCAGTTCTCAAAGTGATGTGGAATTGAGGGACTACAGCATTCATTTTTTGAATTTAAGAACGAAAATGCGAATCTGGCACAAATTATGTCTTCCATAATAAGTAAAAACTAAAAAGAGTGGTAAAAGTCTTAAACTCCAAAGTACAAACACTCCAAAGAAAATTCACAGAGATTTTATGTTATATGATTCGAACGCTTGATCTTTTTCAACGATTTTAATTTTTCAAAAATCAATGAGAGGTTGCCATTTATATTAAAAACGGAAAAAGAAATTCAGATGCATTAGATGTGTTTCGGTTGTCCACAGAGTTTGATACAATATTTTCAAGTGCATTAACTATGTCATGTGTTTAATAAAACATCTCTTCCAACCCAAAAAAAAAAAAACCATGTCTGTGTTTGGTATGGTTGTATTTTTTTTTTTTTTTGGTGAAAACCAAGGTATCCCCCGCGCGATTGCGGGGACTAACCCTCGAGGTACTGTCGGGCGCAAAGCGGGGACCTCTCCCAACAAAGTCTGCTCTATTCGCAAGCGCCTGGGATCAAACCCAGGATCTCTTGTTTAAAGGATCCAAGCCCCTTCCACTTGGACCAACTCCTGTTGGTTTGTATGGTTGTATTGGTTATTAGTAGAAGGACAATATTTTGTTTTTTATTATGTTTAGTTGTAAGTCTTTCGACCTCAAAAAACGAAAAAATAAAATAAAAGAAAAAGGAAAATCTTTATCTTTTATTAGTATTTTTTTGGTGAAGAAAATTTGAGAATGTAAATCCTTTTTTAGATCCAACAAAAAAATATAAATCATTTTTTAGAGTATTACTCCACTGACAATTGTTTGTGTTATAATTATCTCGTGTATTTGATACGTCTTATAATTCCTTTACTTCCAAGTAGGAAAGAAAAAATAAAATCCTTGGTGGCAGCGAATCTATAATTACGTCTATAAAAGAGAGAGAGAGAGAGAGAGAGAGAGAGAGAGAGAGAGAGAGAGAGAGAGAGAGAGACAAGGGTGTTCTTTTCATTGGAACCCTAAAAATCAAGAGAGAGTGTTGAATTTGAATTAGAGAAATATTAGAGATGAAGAAACCAGTACCAGTGCAAGCATGTTTCACTTTCACAAGGGTTCTGAAACTCTTGGCTCCTCCTCCACTTCCACTGCTCACGAGAAGATTAATGGCTTCTAACTCCAAGGGTGACATGGCCAAGATCTCCTCCATCTCCCCTATTTCCTCCTCCTTCTCTTCTTACGGTGATCCCTGCCATGATCTATATTTCCACATGACATCACCAGACCACCGCCCTGATTGGTGTTTCCATGTGACACCACCAGAGTTATCCTATGAAGAAAACAAGCAGACGCTGCAGAAGAAGCATGTCTCCCTTAACTATCTGAAGCAACTGCTGCCGGTGGCCTGGTCTCACAATCCCCTAACCACCCTCAAGCTCATCTTCAATCTCAATTCTATCTCTGCTCCTGAAGGAAAATGTTATCCGGAGGCCTTCTCCACGGCCGCATTTTGGGTCCACCACAACCACCCCAAGACGCTATTATGCAACCTCCCCTCCTTTGCCGGCTCCGGCAATTTCGCTTCTATGTGGGACCTTGTCGAGATTCTCTACGGCCTTCTTCTACAACAAGGCCAAGATGCTGATGCTGCCGCGCAGAGGCTCCACTGTGACCCTGACTATAAGTTGTTACACAACCGGGTTATGGATTTCTTTGCGGAGCAGTTGAAGTCTGATATCTGCAAATTTAAGCAGCACAAGCTGCGGATGGAATTGGACCCGTCATCCGAAGATGATGATAAAGAAGATGGTACTAGTCTTTTTGTTACCAGGGCTGCAGCCTGTTGCACTCCCAACAGCCCGGAAGGAGACCAAGCCACCCGCGCCATTTTGCTGTTTGAAAGCCTTGGGAGTAGACTTTTCCCGCCAGAGTCAGATCAATCGGAAGAGTGGGAACGGCTTAGGAAGGAGTTTTTGGAGCCCTTGACCGAGTATGAGCGACTCTTGTATTTCATTCGAGAGCGCTCTCGCCGCTCGCTCTGTGTGGTTAAGAAGTATTTAGAGGAGGTGAAAGCAGGCGGCAGCAGCAGCATAAAGCCGGATGCATTGCTTCCAAATGATATCATAAGATATGTAAAGGATAAGAATGTCGGCGAAGCAGCTGAGCTTCAGTGGAAGGCAATGCTGGAGGACATGTACCTAAAGCAGCAAAAGCATGGGGAGGAGGGTTTGGGCAAATTTAAAAACTGCTTGGCAGTGTGTAACATCACCACCAATTTCATGGGCGAACGAGTCATAGAATTGGCGGCGAGCTTGGGCATTTTGGTGTGTGAACTTAGTGAAGAGCCGGCATGGAAACGAAAGGTGATGGGTCTCGGTCCATTACCCGATCAGCTGCCGCAGCTGCATTCGATACAAGGCGGTGATCTCAAGTCCAAGTGCGAGTTTGTGATGAGGACATGTAGCAAGAAGTGCAGCGAGGGTGTTGATTTTCAGAAGGTGTGCGATTTGCTTCTGGAAGTGGCTGTGAATGAGAACTTGAAGGCAGAGCAGATGATGAAGAAGGTGTTTGTGTTCACTGACAACGTAAGATTTGGTGGCTGCACCTCATCTTGGAAGGCCCTGTATGATGAAACACAGAGCAAGTTTAAGCAGCAAGGGTACGCGATGCCACACATTTTGCTTTGGAATATTTATGACTTAGGGGGCCGGATGCCCCGTATAGAAGAACCTCATCCAGGGGTGACGCTGTTGTGTGGCACTTCCGACGCATTGATTAAGTCTTTCTTGGACAATGGTGGAGAAATTGGCCGGCGCCATCTCATGGAAGCAGCCATATCTGGCAAAGAGTATCAAAATCTTTGTGTGGTCGACTGAACTTAAACTGAGATCAAGATCGAGATCAATGAATAAGATATTTGGAGGGGTTGATGAATCGATCAGATGGTTCATCATCTCGTTGGTAGATCTTAATTAGTTAGTTTAGTAAGATTTAGTTTAATTTGGTTGAAGCTGTTTTCAATTTTTGTGTGGGTCTTTTCTCGTTTCTATGTTACAAATTCAGTAGTCATGAATTCAAAATTTGGACTGTTGCTCTCAGTAAAATCGATTGTCTTCCTACTTACAAAAAGAATGAATTATTTGTCACATAAAAGTTCAGACAATGTTGCATGCGAGCAGAGACACTATATTGTCTTTCAATTTTGTGCATGTCGAGTTTCGGTTGCTTGATTTCGTGCTCTCTGGTACTTCCTTGAAATTTTCAAACATCTCACATACTGTTCTGGTTTGCCAGATTTGTACAATACCATCTTTTCAATTTCATTTATTAAGATCTTCAGATCTTCTACCCGATTGCCATTGGTGGCTCAACTTTAACTGTGCATATATTGCCAGTGGAAATGTTTCGTTTAAAGAAGAGTCTATGTTGCAGCTTTCTTCTTATGCCACAAAATTTACTGGAAAAGATATATACCAGTATTAGACGACTTTTGCTATAAACATTGAAGCCATGGTTAAAGCAATTGATTACAACAACTTACTGAAATCCCAATGCCAATCCCCAAAACCTTGCTATAGATCTCTCTATCGCTCTTTGACTCTCTACCCTTGTGTATCTTCTCTGTTTTGCTGTTGTTGCAGAAAAGAACTCCCAGCAAGCCTATTTATAATACATAGGTTGTTAAATCTCTTGTTAGAATAGGATTTCTAAAACCTATTGGAATTAGGAAGATAACTTTTTCGACCAAAAAAAAAAGAGGAAAGATAACTTTTCCACCCAAAAAAAAAAGGAAAGACAACTTTTTCCACCCAAAAATAAAAAAGGAAAGATAACTTTTTCCACCCAAAAATAAAAAAGGAAAGATAACTTATTTCCTAATCTTAAACCTATAGGCAAATAAATACATTACGAAATTATTCAATACAAAGTACACGCCTTGTAGGCCTTTAAATCATACAAGAGACGCCATATCAGGTTTAAATATGAGCAATAGTCTAATTTAGCATTCCTTACAATTTCACACCATTTTTTGGGACAACACACCCCATTCCATTACACAACAGTATACTAAAACAAAACCAACCCCCTGGACCAGACAAAAATTCGCAATGCTGTCTTAAGCTTGCATTTTTTTGCCACAGAAAATTCTCTTCATGCACCAGCAGTAATTACACGTACTGTGACAATATAAATGACTCAACAAAAAATTTGAAAGGGGGAGAGAGAGAGAGAGAGAGAGAGAGAGAGAGAAATTTGGGCATAATGAATCAGCTTAAGTACTAGTGAGCTATATTGTGTGTGTCCGTGTGGGAGTAAAAACCCTGGAACAATTAATTGCAAATATTGCCTCAAAATTACATTTATAGCCAACACTGCCAGCAGAATGTTAAATTCTGTAAGATACACAAAAACCTACACTGTGCATGCGTTTGTCAGTGCATGTTTGTTTGTATGAATAACCTTGTGATTTTACAGAAATCACATGTACAGTGAAGGACAAAATAAATGGCCTAAAAATTATTTGATAGCCAACACCACAGCAGACATTCAAATTCAGCAAGGAAAAGATATATACCAGTATTAGACGATTTTTGTGATAAACATTGAAGCTATGGATACAGACACGAGGTGCTTCTTTTAGAAATTCAATAGTCATAATAACTTGACCCTGCATGGTTAAGCCACTGCATCGTTAAAGCAGAGAGTAAAGAGATAGCAGTGTAGTTCAAATAAGAACAACTTAAGTTCATCTGCCTGCAATGGGAAACAACTGTTTCAAAATTTGGTACAACCTCCACAAAACCTCCAGTTTGTGGTTTATACTAGATAAATTAAGGAAATTTTAGATCATTGGCAATGTTAATGATGATCAACAACTCGCACACGAAGTAAGTACTATCTGACAGGTTTCGGGTATCCGCAAGTACAAGATGGACAAGTATACCTGTGGAGCATACAGAACTATCAAAATCCACTCAGACAACTCAAATTCTTATATATTAATCAAGTGTACATATGCTATAGGAGGATTACCCGGAGAGGATAATGGAAATGGTTAGCAATGTGCTCTTCATTTACTGTCTTCCATTGGGGTCTAGCGTTAACTTTTTGGTATCCCCACTAATTCTTCGAATATCCTGCACTACCAAGTCACAAAAAGCAACCTCATCGGATGAGGACGCGTTACATTTCAAAATAAAATAAAAGAGAAGAACATGGAAGATGAAAGAAATTGTCAACCTCAGGATCAGTATCAAAGTCTAGCTCCACATTGGACCATAAACTATAGATAATAACCTTTGCGCCATGAGCTCTGATGTCATTAAACTGTCATCTCAAGAGAAAAATGGAAATATATCAAACAAAATTCCTATCAGCGGCATATCTTAACCATGAAAGCAATAGAAATACCATGACACACAAATTGAAGTTCATAGCAATATAGGCTTTAGAGTAGGTGAAAGTGCTCATATCAGTTTATTTCAAATTAGAGTAACCTAAACTTACACACTAATTAGCGTATTCAGATGTATGTTGCACAGGTACAAATACATGATACAAAATACGACACATGATATGGAAAATCTCCAAAAACTAATATAGAAATACAATAGTACAAATTATGGTATATATAAATAGGTTAAATAACAATCATATCTATTATCTATTCATTTCTTGTTCATGCATCAAGTTCATCCTTGTTCATGGTCTGCTGCTGTACAGGCGAGTTCTTTGTGTTGAGTTTTTTTTACCCTTCTCTTTCTTCTACCCTTATTCTCCTTCTCTTCTACAGATGTAATCAGAAATAGTATAAAATCCAAGCCCCTCTTTTAGCTCTTTTAAATCAGCATCTAATATAGGAGGAAAGGAATGGATTCTCTTGTGAAGCCTTAACAACCAAATCACAAACTGGCCTATAAGTTTTTAAAAACAACAATCACACCCACCTATTCCCTGTCCCAACTTTTCAAAAAATAATTGCAACATGATGTATGTCATATCCTGACAGGTTTTTATTTATAGGAATACCAGATCGTACAGTAACCAAATCTTGGCCACATCCACCACGTACTGGTCGGGGTGTATGGGGATCATATTGGTATCTGATACCCCATACCGACAATATTTGAAGAATCAGTACTTTATAGATTCAGAGCATACCCATCCAATTTAACAGACAAGGAAAGAATGTTCTCAAGGTGCAATTTCCCTTCTCAAACTACAAAGATATGACGGAGCAGCACCAATGTTTAGAGTACAGAAAAATCCATACAAATTTAAATAGATAGAAAAATTACTGTCCAAAAAGTTGTGAACCATGGTTTTTGAATTACGTGGCATTGTTATAGAGGAACTGGTGTGCATCTCTAGCGTTCATGATGATCAATTCAATGGGTTCCTGAGAGTTTACCAAACAAACCAAATACATACGATCAATATTTGAATGGTGCGGTGAATATAAAAAAATAGAAAAAGCTCTCTCTCTCTCTCTCTCTCTCTCTCTCTCTCTCTCTCTCCCCATGTATATAAAGAAAATATTGTAGAAACTTACCTTCTTCAGAAAATCAGCCTCGGTTGAATATGGGGACCACCGCAACAGCAGGGAAAGATTAGACATGAAATGTTCCGTCCCATGCATTAATTCTAACGCCTCATTTGATGTGTTGAATTCACAATCCACCTGCAATGGACATGAGCTGTTAATACTAGATATAAATGTACGAGTAACATCAAGTAATTGAGAATGAGGATAATTAAAAAAGCAGCATTTCAACTGCCCATGGAAACAAAAACCAAAAATAAATAAAAAAATAACATTAAGATCTCCAAACATAGTGCATATGCTCCTCCATCAAGATCTTGAAAGTTCAGGTTTCAGCCTTCCTTTAAACCCAAAGGTCATAACCTCAAGCTAGTATAAATATGGCATTGCAATGGCACATCAAATATCCTGGTCATCCATTTTTATTATTATTATTTTTAATCCCATAACTCCAATTTGTCAGCTTTGCTGACTCAACTTCCAAACTGGGGCCCACTGCCGAACCCTACAATCTTCTGGGCAGGAAACTCTAGCAATAAATTTCTAGATAGGTACCTCACTGAGTGTAGAACCCCTGACCTCAAGGAGGGAGCCCAACTAGTCCCCCAACCGCTGGACTACAACCTCATGGGTAATATCCTGGTCATCCATTTACTAGCACATACAACAATAAGCCACATTTTGCATACTGTTTCACGTCTATCACACAGAAAAGAAAACAGGAAAGAAAGGAATACACACACAACCAGAAGCTTGCGTAACAAAGCTCACTATCGGTACTACTATTCTGTCATGGCCTGTCCATGCCAAGAATGTATAAGAGAGAAGACCAATGCTTTGAGTCAACGCCCTGGTCAAAAAAATAAATGAGTAAAGAAACAACAGCATCAATTTAACGCACAAAATATTAACACTAAAGTAGGATGGCATTAATTTGCATCACAAATGTAGGACGTCCTTCACACACACACACAAAGGGAAAGAGGTCCCTAAGGACAAAGATTGTGAACAAATCCAAATGTCACAGAGATCTCGCATACGACATTCATGACTCTGACTATGGTTTTTACTTGCACAATAACATATTCAAACAGAGAGCTCGGGTAGAGGGAAGGAAAAGTTCATAAGAATTATTCTTCAGAGAATCAAATGGCACCCAAGGGCCCACAAAGATTTATAGATCTTAAATAATTGAGTTTTGAATGTTTCAACAGTCAATTTATAGATCCTCCTATTGCCGTCCACTCATAAGGAACAAAGGTGCAGACCCCATGAACAGACATAATTAGGAAGAGAATTCAATGATTATTCACAACATGGTACCTACCAAAGGAAATCTTCAAAGCAAACATCTCTGAAAAAGAAACAACAGGTATTGGATATTATCAGTAACTAATCACAGTAAAATTAAAAATGCATATAACTATCTATAATGTCTATCGATCTGAATGTTGTTCCACATGTAATTTTAGATAGCATCTTTCAAGATTACATGGCGGACTATCCATAAAAAAAAAACAAAAAACAAAAAACAAAAAATTGGACAGTCTGCCATCAAATACCAGACATCAAGAGTTAGGACCATTAAATTTAAAGAGAATGTCAATTCATATAAAAAGCAGCATGAGCTTAGTAGAGTCACATGATGACTCAATGACGAAACCGCATAGGTCCACCAGCTGGATAAGAAAATATATGGTAATTATATGATCAAAATGACTGGATAAGACCTACGAATTTCATTCTCTTATGACAATAATAGAGGGGAAAATCCTATTTCTGACACAGCTTTCTAAATCTCTGTTCAGAGTTAACAGTTTCTCCATCAGAGTCATCAGTTTATCATCAAATAAAGACAGCAACCTGTCTTCGGTCAAATATACTACACAAAGAAGATAAACTACTTAAAACCATATTTGACAGAACCAAATATTAATCTAGATACTTTGTAACATAAAACAAACAAAGCTTCGGTATGTTGGCAAGCCAAATGAGCCTGGCGTGTCATAAGAAATTAAAAGCACTTTCGGGCATGTCTTAAGATAAATTTTCATAAACGTATTGTGCATATTATTATATATACCCTTCATCCTCTTAGAAGGACCATAATAAATCATCATAGCATGGACTTTTCCACATTAGACGGCACGTATATGTACACAATCTACACGTGAGTGTTTAAATGTCATGGCCAGATGCCCTAAGATCTTTTACCTGTAATTCAGTTGCTCGACACAATGTTGTCCCTTCTAGCTCCAAAAGCTCATCATTCGTACACCAAAATGGATTGCCAAAAGTAGTTGGAAGCATATCAGGATACCTGATGTTATCCCAAGTGAAGCTCAGCCAAAAGATATACGAGAAAATTTGTAATTGATCATTCAACAAAGTGCATTCTATACATAAGGCTTCCAAGAAGAATTCTTGCAGACACACTCCACTATCAGAAACAAAAACATCAACAACCTATCATCTACATCTCCTTCTTCAAACATTGCTCTACACTCTGGTCCAAGAAGAGGATCTTGCAACACTCTCATAGGAGTTCTTGCTAAATCCAGAGGAACAACCAATAAAACCCCTGAAATTTAGTTCCAAAAACAAATCAAAATTATGGTCTAATTATTGGAGTGTTGCAACCTAGAATGTTGCACACTAAAACAAAAAATAAAAGAACATCTTAAACTAGTATGTGAAATTTTTGGGACCCTTCACTTACAATGTGGTTTTTATTGGGACACATTTACCCATGGATTCTTAACTAGGAGGGGTGGACATGAGTGGGTTGGCTGAATTAGGGCTTGCCCAAGGAAATAGAAGAAACCAAGGAGTTCCTGGGGGGTTTGCATATGTTTTCCCAAGTAAGTTTCTCGGCTTGCCCAAATCAAATTATCTTGACAGATTGCACAAAAAAGTTCAAAGAAAAATCTTCAATAACTTATGTCCATGTTTACTTCAATTATCAAAGGACCAAATTGCTAAAGTTGAGTTGAAGTACTAGTTAATAAGGTTTGTCCAGCCGAATACCCATAGAATTCGAATGCTGTGGTATATTTTTCCATATGATTCTTAAAGAAGTTAGTATCTGACACTCAAATTCGAATTATTTACCTGTCGCACATGTTCTCAGATAACAAAATGAGTAAAAGCATAGATAAACAAAAACCCAATAACTTATGCGTAAATGAAAGAGCTGGATTACCATCATCAGAAACTTCACTAGACGAAAAAATGTCAAACCCTTTGCTGGAATTAGAGTACTTGATCTTGCAGCCATGTAGCTCCGGTCCATTAACCTCAATTCGAAAACCCAAATGATCAAAATCACAGTTTGCGGTATTTGGTTAGTGATGAAAATTTAGAGGAGAATGCAAACATATGGGCACCTGTAACCACTGGAGGAACCTCTCGAGCTTGGCCTCAAGGGGTTTTAGCAGGTAGCAGCTTCAAGTGTTTCTTCTATCCTATGCTCTCAAAAAGAAAGCACCAAAGCCGCTGCCTAAACTTTTCTTTGCATACCGGATGTTAAGGTTGGTAATGGAAGAAAATGGGGCAATCGAGAAAGAAATGAATTACACCTTTTTCACTTCGAACCATCCACAGCCCTCATCATCTACCGCTCAAATCCCAGTTACATTCACCCCAAATAAATAAATAAATAATACGAAAACAGATTGAATATACAAACAAATTTGGTTGATTTTATTTTATATAACAATTTGGGAAAGTGTTTTGACAGCTCAGTCGGAACAAAGATCCAGGTGAGAGAGAGAGTTCACGCGAAGACGAAGAGGGGGTTATGTTTCGGGTTGAATCCAACCGTCCAATAATAACATTCTCATTGATTGAACGACTATTAAGGAAGGAGGGGCTGTCCTTAAATTTGGGCTCTGGAGTTTTGGCCCGAATTCAAATATGGGCTATTAATGCAGGAGTGACCCAAAGAAATGGATTTGGAGTTAGGAGCCCAAATTCGAATTCACTCCTACCCAAACGGCAAAACAATTATTTTAAATTCTCAATTTTCTTCTGCGAAAAAAAATTAGGGTTAATCGCAGCAATGGTCCCTCAACTATACCTGTAGTTACACTTTGGTCCATCAATTCAATTATTAGTTGCCGGGGTCACTCAACTAGGTGCTTTGTTGCACCAGTACTCCTTCCGTCAAGTCTGTTAAATTTTCTGTCAAAAGTGAGGGTAAATTCGGAAATTCATCCACAAGAATCAAATAATAAATAACTAAAAACCCAAATTCGTCTATTAAACCCAAATAATGGTATAGCCGCGCGGCTATACTATTTATGAAAAATGAAAGAGGCCCGCCTGGCATCTAGCGCCCGCCTCAATTCCTCCATACTCGCATAATTCCTTGCCATCAACCCTCCGCCATTGTTGTACTTCCAAACCCAAATCACCTACCTCCCAAGCCCCCCCTCATCCCAGCCACCACACCGTATCTCCAAACCTTCTCCCCCCCATGCCTAGCCACAAACCCATCCTCATTGGAACTATCTGTCTCTCAGCTCCCTGGCATAGACGATGGCGAATACAAACAAAATTGAAACTTGTAAACGGTACGATTCTTACATGGTGGAAAGCGAGGTCGGAGATGGAGCGAGGGTGACGGGGTAGGCGAAGCCACTCGGGGTTGCTGTGGGGGTGATGGCTGGGTTCGTCGTCGTCGGAGAGTGGGTATGGTGGTCCGATTGCGTGGGTTGTATGCTTGTCTCTAAATTCAATTCCAAATGGTGTGAATTCGAATTCAAAAGTTTAGGGGGGCAGAAAAGGGGAAGGGAGAAGAAAACTGCGGGGGAGTAGGGGGAGGATGGGT